GGCGAGGAGAAGGGAGGGAGGGAAAGAGAATGGCCGCCGATATCTCAGGTGGGCCCCTCCCCGGACATAGGCCGACATGACGCGTTCAAACCGCGGCCCAAGAGGTTTCGACCTCTTCCCCAGGGGTTGCTTTCCGTCACCGATCCGGGTGCGATGGTACCAGGCCCCGAAAAGAACCCCCCCCAGGCAGAAATCTACATGAAACGCCGGGGGGGGGTTTGTGTCACCTGTTTGAAGTAGATGCAGAAAACAACGGACAGACAAAAGACAACAACAAAAAACGGATCTGGACCCGGCCCTGAACCCTCTCACCTTCGTCGTCCTCGTCGTCGCTATCGTCCTCCTCCTCCTCCTCCTCATCCTCCTCCTCCTCCAACCCCGCCCGCCGTAGAGCCAGGGATTGGTTCGTCGACGGGCGGCACCTGGTAACGGGAGTTAAACTTCAGCTCAATTCGTTGGGTTTCTGTGGCGTGCGACGGTAATCGGACCTCGCATGCAGCACCCCATATATTGTAAGTTGTGCTTCCATGTTCACTCAGCGCAGGGGGGGGCATCGCTGCGTCCTGCGTGACGCTCCTCCTCCTCCTTCTCCTCCTCCTCCTTCTCCTCCTCCCCCTCGTCCTCCAACCCCGCCCGCCGTAGAGCCAGGGATTGGTTCGTCGACGGGCGGCACCTGGTAACGGGAGTTAAACTTCAGCTCAATTCGTTGGGTTTCTCTGGCGTGCGACGGCAATCGGACCTCGCATGCAGCACCTCTTAGACTGTAACTTGTGCTTCCGTGTTCAATTAGCGCAAGTGTGGGCATCGCTGCGTCCTGCCTCCTCGTCCTCCTCTTATTATCATTATTATCATTATTAGCATTATTATTATTAGCATTATTATGATTTTTATTTTTATTCTTAGTATTATTAGTGTTATTTTAGTAATAATATCATTATTATTATTAGTCTCAGTATTATTATTATGTTTCGTCTTAGTATTACCATTCGTAGTGTGACTATTAGTATTACTCTTCTTATTGTTATGATTAGTCTTAGCATTCGCATTCGCATTAGTATTATTGTTAGTATTTCTAGTCTTAATACTCTTATTATTCATATCATTATGATTAATATTACTAAAAATAATGTCATTCGAAATAGTATTCCCATATTATTCTTATTCCCAACCATCCTGTGGTGTTGGGTCCTCGTTTTGAAGAGACAGAGCCCCGCGTTTCCTTCCTTCCTTCCCTCCTTCCCTCCTTCATTCCTTCCTTCCTCCTCCCCCCTCCTCCCCACCCCCCCATTCCTGCCCGCATGCGGTTTCTCCACCCAGGGCAGCGCTTCGTAGCCCCATAGGGAGCTCCACCGAAGGCCCCAGTGGGGGTGCCCGCATGCGGTTCCCCCACCCAGGGCAGCGCTTCGTGGCCCCATAGGGAGCTACACCGAAGCCCCATGTGGGGGTCCCGCATGCCGTTCCCCCACGCAGGGCAGCGGCTTCGTAGCCGTCATTAGCGAGCCCACCGTAGGCCCCAGTGGAGGTGCCCGCATGCCGTTCCCCCACCCAGTGAGGGCAGCGCTTCGTAGCCCCATAGGGAGCCCCACCGTAGGCCCCAGTGGGGGTGCCCGCATGCGGTCCCCCCACAAGGGGCAGCGCTCCGTGGCCCCATCGGGAGCTCCACCGAAGGCCCCAGTGGGGGTGCCCGCATGCGGTTCCCCCACCCAGGGCAACGATTCGTGGCCCCATAGGGAGCTCCACCGTAGGCCCCAGTGGAGGTGCCCGCACGCGGTCCCCCCACCAGGGAAGCATTTCGTAGCCCCATAGGGAATTCCACCGAAGGCCCCAGTGGGGGTGCCCGCATGCGGTTCCCCCACCCAGGGCAGCGCTTCGTGGCCCCATAGGGAGCTCCACCGAAGGCCCCAGTGGGGGTGCCCGCATGCCGTTCCCCCACCCAGGGCAGCGCTTCGTAGCCTCATAGCGAGCCCCACCGTAGGCCCCAGTGGAGGTGCCCGCATGCCGTTCCCCCACCCAGTGAGGGCAGCGCTTCGTAGCCCCATAGGGAGCCTCACCGAAGGCCCCAGTGGGGGTGCCCGCATGCGGTCCCCCCACCCGGGGCAGCGCTCCGTGGCCCCATCGGGAGCTCCACCGAAGGCCCCAGTGGGGGTGCCCGCATGCGGTTCCCCCACCCAGGGCAACGATTCGTGGCCCCATAGGGAGCTCCACCGTAGGCCCCAGTTGGATGTGCCCGCACGCGGTCCCCCCACCAGGGCAGCATTTCGTAGGCCCCCATAGGGAAACTCCACCGAAGGCACCAGTGGGGGTGCCCGCATGCGGTTCCCCCACCCAGGGCAGCGCTTCGTGGCCCCATAGGGAGCTCCACCGTAGGCCCCAGTGGGGGTGCCCGCATGCCGTTCCCCCACCCAGGGCAGCGTTTCGTGGCCCCATAGGGAGATCCACCGTAGGCCCCAGCGGAGGTGCCCGCATGCCGTTCTCCCACCCAGTGAGGGCAGCGCTTCGTAGCCTCATAGCGAGCCCCACCGAAGGCCCCAGTGGGGGTGCCAGCATGCGGTTCCCCCACCCAGGGCAGCGCTCCGTGGCCCCATCGGGAGCTCCACCGAAGGCCCCAGTGGGGGTGCCCGCATGCGGTTCCCCCACCCAGGGCAGCGCTTCGTAGCCCCATAAGGAGCTCCACCGAAGGCCCCAGTGGGGGTGCCCGCATGCGGTTCCCCTTACCCAGGGCAGCGCTTCGTAGCCCCATAGGGAGCTCCACCGAAGGCCCCAGTGGGGGTGCCCGCATGCGGTTCCCCCATCTAGGGCAGCCCACGGACGAGGTCTCGCTCAGATCTGCGCGGTGCCTCACTCCGCTGGACCCACCATCGGCCCTTGAAAATGGTGGCAGCTTCGCAAATCGCCATGTTGGTCTCCCCAACAATCCCCGAAAGTAGTGACAATTTCGCAGATCGCAGCTCCCCAGGGACGGCGAGGTCCCGCTCAAATTTGCGCGGGCCTCACTCCGCTGGACCCACCAGCAGCCCTCGGAAGTGGCGACAGTTTCGCAGATCGCAGCCCCCCAGGGACAGAGAGGTCACGTTCAGATCTGCGCGGTGCCTCACTCCGCTGGACCCACCAGCAGCCCTCGAAAGTGGCGACAGTGACGCAAATCGCAGCCCCCAAAGGACGGCGAGGTCCCGCTCAGATCTGCGCGGTGCCTCACTGCCTCACTCCGCTGGACTCACCAGCGGCCCCCGGCAGTGGCGACAGTTTCGCAAATCGCAGCCCCCCAGGGACAGAGAGGTCACGTTCAGGTTTGCGCGGTGCCTCAGATGACTCCGTTGGACCCACCAGCAGCCCTCGAAAGTGGCGACAATGTTGCAGATCGCTGCCCCCCAGGGGCGGCGAGTTCCGGCTCAGATCTGCGCGGTGCCTCACTCCGCGTTTGTGGTGGGGGGACCAGGCCCACCAGCAGCCCTCGAAAGTGGCGACGTTTTCGCAGATCGCAGCCCCCCAGGGACGGCGAGGTCCCGCTCAGATTTGCGCGGTGCCTCACTCCGCTGGACCCACCAGCAGTCCGTCGAAAGTGGAGGCAATTTCGCAGATCGCAGCCCCCAAGGACGGCGAGGTCCCGCTCTGATCCGCGCGGTGCCTCACTCCGCTGGACCCACCAGCAGCCCTCGGCAAGGGCGACAATTTCGCAGATCGCTGCCCCCCAGGGACGGCGAGGTCCCGCTCAGATCTGCGCGGTGCCTCACTCCGCTGGACCCACCAGCAGCCCTCGAAAGTGGCGGCAATTTCGCGGATCGCAGCCCCCCAGGGACGGCGAGGTCCCGCTCAGATCTGCGCGGTGCCTCACTCCGCTGGACCCACCAGCAGCCCTCGAAAAGGGCGACAGTTTCGCAGATCGCAGCCCCCCAGGGACGGCGAGGTCCCGCCCTGATCCGCGCGGTGCCTCACTCCGCTGGACCCACCAGCAGCCCTCGAAAGTGGCGACAAGTTTGCAGATCGCTGCCCCCCAGGGACGGCGAGGTCCCGCTCTGATCCGCGCGGTGCCTCACTCCGCTGGACCCGCCAGCAGCGCTCGAAAGTGGCGACAGTTTCGCAGATCGCAGCCCCCCAGCGACGGCGAAGAGAGGGCAGGAGGCGAGAGGAGGCGGGAGGCGGGAGGAGGAGGAGGAGGAGGAGGAGGAGGAGGAGGAGGAGGAGGAGGAGGGACGCGACCACAGTGCTCTATGCAAAACGAATACCCAGCCAAGGAGGGTTGGGAAAAAAAGAAGCGCCAGGCTCACCACGTAGATCGTGATGAGCATCACCAACCCGCCGAAAGCGGGCGGCCCCCACACCTCCCTGTCGCACCCCGAGTGCGGGGACACAAGCTACCCCACGTCGCCGTGCGGGGCACACGGCGCGTGGTTTCCGCGCGTGGGCAACCTGGCCCCCCCCCCCCCTTGCCCAAAGGGGGCCAGGCGGTACACGTTTTGAGCCGTGCCGCAGGCCGACCCCCCCAGCCACACCCGTGCCCCGCGACGTCACGGGAAGGCCAATACAGAGGCCGGGGCCTGCCCCCACTAAGGCAGGTACCACGCAGGCCGACGCGGACCGAGATCCACGCCAGCCCAAGGGGGGTACCCTCGCGGCCCCAAAACGCCAGGTCCCCGAGGGACCTGAGACAGCAGACCCGTACCACAGCGGGTCCACCGCTAGAGCACAGGGGGGCCGCCCCAGGCCCATCAAGGCACCGACGCCCCTGGCCCGCCGCGCCGCCCCACCGCAGGCGACGTCTTGGCGGATTTCACTTCAGCCCAGGAGCCCTGACGTGCCGCCCACACGCCGAGGTGCCCTCCTGGGGGCTCCTCCTCCTCCTTATTTTCCTCCCTCTCCTCCTCTCCCATTCTCTGAGGCAGGGAAAAGGACAAACGGGAACGAGGAGACCGAGGAGGAGAAGGAGGGATAGGAGGAGGAGGAGGAGGAGGAGGAGGAGGAAGATGACGATGAAGAGCCCCCCTGGCTCTACCCCGGCGGTCCGCGCAGCAGAACTGCGGGTCTGGCGGCGCGCTGTAGTGGTCGATGTCCACCTGCGCGCGTTGAGGGGGCCGTCCTCCTTCTTTTCCTCCTCGTCCTCCTCTGCCTCACCCAGCGACAATCCTCCTCCTCCTCCTCCTCCCTCCTCCTCCTCCTCCTCCTCCTCCTCCTCCATTCCTCCTCCTCCTCCTCCTCCTCCTCCTCCTCCTCCTCCTCCTCCTCCATTCCTTGTCCTTCTGAATAACTAACTCCTCCCTGTCGCACCCGGATCCTGGGTCGCTGGCAGCGTTCGCTCCACGCTGGCAGCGGGGTCGCCGCCGGTCGACACGACGCGAACCTGCCGCACACGAGAAGCGTGCACCGTCCGTGCACCTTTCGGGCCCGCGGTGGGAGCTTTCAGGGGCCGCTGGGGGGCCCCCGTAGGGCCGCCTGCCTGCTGTCGCCGATCCCCCCTCATCACTGCACCGACCTTGCAGACGTGCTGCAGCGGACTTTTGCGTGCATCTCGGGCAGTGCAAAGCCCTGAAGCAGCGAGAGAAAAACGAAGTGAGTTTCTCGTGGATTTGTCCTAGTCTTCATTCCTAGCCACAGAGCCATCCGCACGAAATTCACCTCCGAATCCGGAACGAAATTCTCCAGGACACTCCAGGCCCATCCCATCGTTGTCCGAGCGAAATCCGTTCAGCGATGTTGGCGCCATGACCCTTACGTTTTTCTCTTGCACACCTTTGTTCTAGAGTCTGGAGCCCTGTATTTTCACCGTCGTTCGCTTGTTCGCTCGTCGAACCCTGGGCCAGCCCACCCGTTTCTCGTCATGATGGCCACGACGGCCCCAAGAGAACACCGGGACAGCTCCGAGAACACCCCCCCTCCTCACCCCGCTGCCCCTGGCCCTCGCCTGGAGCCAGGGCATGCGTGCCACTTGCAGCCCCCCGCTGCCGTCCGCACGAGTCGGCGAGTCCGAAGGGTGTGGTTTGCAAAGGGTGTGGTTTGCAGCACGCACCCTGGGGGGGCGGGCGAGGACCGACAGAGCTCTCCGTCGCGCCCCGAAGAGGCCCGACGAGGGCCACTGGGTGCCCCCCAAGCCCTAGCCGACGCACATCGAAAACCACACCCCGACGTGATTGACCACACCCTTTGTAGTCGTAAGTCGGACATGTCCCCCTACAGGCGGAATCTGGCGAAAAGTAAGAAAATAGTCCAAACATACACCCAAAATGCTGAAAAATAATCCCCATAATATGCTTTAAAAGTATGTTTGAACATTCCTCCTGTAGAAGGACAGGCCCGACATAATTGTAGTCGCCCATGGAGCAAGACACAGGCACAACAAATGCATAAACATAAACTTTGGAGGCCCGCGCGGATTGCTCGGACCGGCGATGGAACCCCGTCCCTGCCGCGCGGAGCATGCCAGGGGCGGCACCAGAAGGGGCCGAGGAGGGGGCCTGGCGCCGATCCGAGAAATCCGAGCGGAGCGTTGACAGTATATGTTTATGCAGTTTTGCTCCTCCTCCTCCTCTCCCTCCTCCTCCTCTTCGTCCTCCTCCTCTTCGTCCTCCTCCTTCCACCCTCCAACTTATGGTGGTGGTGGTGGTGAAAAATAAGCCCATCAAAGACGACCCCAAGTCAGCCCAAGATCCCCAGCTTGAAGTATGTCCCTTTCCCCATGTTTGGCATCACCTTGGCGCGTTGCCGATCTTCAGGGTTCCCTCAGTTTTTAGGACGCATCCCTAGCATCGTCGTCGCTTTCTGCTTGCCCATCCTGTGGATAGGGATAAGTTCGATTCTGGTTACAAGGGCTCCCCACGATGGCCCCAGAGGGATGCGAGAGGACAAGGCTGAAGGCCCCACGAGCTGTCAGGTGTTGGTCCTGACGAGCGCATGACAGGCCACACCAGCACGGCCAAGCCGCATCGCCGAGGAGATGGGAAGGACGAAGAGGAGGAAGACACCCTCCCCATCGAACTTATAGTGGTGGTGGTGGAGAACAGGCCCGTCAGTCTTGGAACGTCTTCGACCGTTGCTGCCCCCCCGTGGCCTTCCGTCCGAGGGGGAGGCGCCCGCGCACGGGGCGGCCGTGCCTGCATGACCCGCAACTCCGCGGGCAACTGCGGCGGCGGCGCCGGGCGCGCCCACGGCCGGAAGTCGGGGCCCCTGGGCGCCGCCTGGTCGACCTCGCGGCCGCCGCCGCCGCCGAGGCCACCGCCGCCACTGTCAGGAAGCCCTCGACCGCTGCCATATGATCATCGTCATCACCATCACCACCACCACCATTATCGTCAGCAGCGTCATCATAATTACCAGCACCATCAACATCACCACCATCATCGTCAGCATCACCAACACCACCACCATCACCACCATCATCATCAGCCGCATCATCAGCATCGTCAGAATCATCATCATCAGCATCATCGTCATCATCATCATGATCATCATCATCATCATCATCATCATCATCATCATCATCATCATCATCATCATCATCATCATCATCATCATCATCATCATCATCATCATCATCATCATCATCATCATCATCATCATCATCATCATCATATTCATCGTCATCACCACCAGCACCAGCACCAGCATTAGCACCACCACCATCATCACCATCATCAGCAGCAGCATCACGATCATTATCATCATCATCCGCATCATCAAATAACTAATCATCATCATCAACATCACCAGCATCGCCATTATCATCTCATCATCGAAAACACCAGCACCAACATCATCAAACTATCATCATAACATCATGGCCGCGAACCGGACCGGAAACCGAAAACCGGCCCTCGAACCGAAACGGCCGAACCGGACCGGCCCTCGAACCGAACCGGCAGAACTGGACCGAACCGGCCCGACTAACCGAACCGGCCGAACCGAACCTGCCAAACCGAACCGGTCCCGCCAGCGAGCCCTGCAAGAGAAATCCAAGCGGACTCCCGCAGGAAGGCCCCCAGCACCCCCCCAAAAAAAACAGCACCCCATGGACCCCCCAGCACCACCCAGAACCCCCCAGGACCCCCCAGGAACAGCCGGGAGCCCCCAGGATCCCATGAGACCCCCCAGAAGCCCCCAGAGGCCCCCAGAGCCCCCAAAGGCCCCCAGAGCCCCCAGAGCCCCCAGAGGCCCCCAGAGCCCCCAGAGCCCCCAGAGCCCCCAGAGGCCCCCAGAGCCCCCAGATGCCCCAGAGCCCCCAGATCACCCAGAGCACCCAGAGCCCCCAGAGGCCCCCAGAGGCCCCCAGAGCCCCCAGAGCCCCTAGAGCCCCCAGAGGCCCCAGAGGCCCCCAGAGCCCCTGGAGCCGCCAGAGGCCCGAGAGGCCCCCAGGAGGAGAGGGAGGAGGAGGACACTAGGCACATCATGGGCGATACCGCATCACAGATGTTGTCCAAGATGGCTTTCACCTTCATGGCATCGGGTTGCCCGCCGCCCTCCTCTGTCCAGCATGTCTTGCAGAAGCGGTAGTCGGCACAGTAAGGCCGCTTGGCCAATAGTATTCGTGTACTTTTGCAGGGAACGCCATCTGCAGAACAGCGCAAAAGCTTGTCAACTCGTAAATTCTTGAACCGCTTTCGCTACGAGCGAGGAGGGAGGAAGCGAAGGAAGCCTTGGGGGCTCCTGGGGGGATTGGGGGGGTCCTGGGGGGTGCTGGGAGGTGCTGGGGGGTGCTGGGGGCTGCTGAGGCGTGCTGGGATCCTGGGGGGTGCTGGGAGCTCCTGGGAGCTCTGGGGGCTCGGGGGGGCCCGGCTCTGGGGGCTGGGGGCCTCTGGGGGGTCTGGGGACCCGGAGCGCTCGGGGACTCGGGAAGCTCTGGGAGCTCTGGGGGCTCTGGGGGCTCTGGGGGCGTCTGGGGGCTTCGGGGGGCTCGGGGGGTTCGGTGGGCTTGGGAGGCTCCGGGAGCTCTGGGGGCTCGGGGGCTCTGGAGGTTCGGGGGGCTCTGGGGGCTTTGGTGGCCTCTGAGAGCTTTGGGTGCCTCTGGGAGCCTCTGGGTGCTTTGAGGGCTCTGGAGGCTGTGGGGGCTCGGGGGGCTCGGGGGGCTCTGGGGGCTTTGGGTGGTCCTGTGAGGTCCTGGGAGATGCTGGGGGATGCTGGGGGGGGGCTGGGGGGTCATCACTCTTCCTACCCCTCCTCTTCCTCTCTCGTGCCTGCGCTCGCCCCCACTGGCGTCGCGGCTTCCAGCCGAGGCGGAAGCGCACGCGCCAGCGCCTGTGGGTGCTAGGGGGCCCGCCTCCCTCTTCTTTCCCTCCCTCCTCCCTCTCCTTTCCTTCTGCCATTGTCTGTTTCTCTCCTCTCTGTCCTGCCCCTGCTCCCTCTGTCCCCAGCATGACGCCTTGGTCAGCGGCGCGGGCCAGCGCCTCGTTGATGTCGACGTGGAACCGAACAGGCCGAACCAAACCCCCCCGGCCGAACCGAACTGGCCGAACCGGACCGAACCGGACGAACCAGGCGGCCGAACTGGACCGGCCGAACCGAACCGGTCGAACCCAACCAAATGAACCGAACCCGACGGCGATCTGAGCCGGACCAGCCGAACCGACACGAACGAAAGCGCGCCGAACCCGACCGAACCGAATCGAACCGCGGCCATGATGTCATAGTCATCATCAGCATCATCACCATCTGCATAATCAGAATCACGGCTACCCCCAGCTTGGGGACACGAGGTGTCACACCGTCGAAGGACTTCGGAAGCCGTCCTGCGGACTTTTCCTAGGCCGTCTTGGAGGCCTATTAAGCCGTCTTGGGGCCGTCGTGGTGCTTTCTTGGGGCCCTCTTGGGCCACCTAGGGGCCCTCCTGGGCCGTGCTGTGGACTTCTCGACCGCCTGGGGGTGATATTGGATGCGTCTTGGGTCACACTGATCTGTGAGAAGACCCAAACTGCGAGAACACAATCATGACTTGAAACCCCTATGGAAAAAACAATGATGCCACCCTGATGCCGTCCTGAACAGTAGTGGGGCCGTCCTGAGGCAGTCTTTAACCGTCGTGGCCCGTCCTGGGGCACTCTTGACCATTTCGGGGCTGCGTGCAATGGTTCTTGGACTCAGGGGGGGGCATTACAAACTGAACCCACATGCCCACAAAGTGACGGGGCCCTCATATGTGGTACCCCTGGCACACGCACATACATATATACACACAGGTATGCACATACGTACGGACATAAATATGATATGTTACATCACGTTAGTACCTAAAAGTGTACGATCTCTATATATATGTATGTGTATATGTAGATGCATGCACAATTATACATTCACACATGCATGCATACATACAGACATACAGCTGCATGCACGTACAGACATACATACATACACACATACATGCATTTATTCATTTATACATACATTCATACATACATACAGACACACAGACAGACGCACATACAAATTCAAAATATACGCAAACGCAAATGTGGATTACACAGTCAGGGTTTACCTCTCGCACGCAAATGCATACACACCTGTGACGTACCTCATTTTCTGCTCTCTGATCTGAGCGGCGCTCGTGATTTGAACTTGCGTCTCATATCTGCGCGGTGTGTTCACACCAGGCTTGATTAGCCATGCGATAAAGGTGTTTGCTGTGGCGACCATACAACCTTTCTGTGGCGGCCTCACAAATGGTTTCTTCCTCTGCCGCGACCAGGGCCGATATGCCCTTTTTTGTGAAGCGTAAACAAATGTCAAACCGATGTCTGCTGCGGCGGGCTACAGAAAAATATTCGTTGCTGTGGTTACCAATGGAACAAATCTTTGTGTGCGGTTTTGTCTGGTCGGGCAAGTACACGCCCAGGCGTTCATGTCAGAGCGGGGGACCGGGCACGCTGAATCGGCGGCGACGATAGGGGCGAATAGCCCAAGGGCGGGCATTACACGTAGTAGCCCGGGAGTCTTTTCGAAAACATAGATCATCGGCACCCCTGGATACATGTATCGCTCTCCCTTGGGCTATTCGCCCCTATCGTCGCCTCCGACTGAAGCGCACCAAATAGAAGTCCCCCTCCGCGAGGACGGCGAAGAACTCATTCTGCGCAACGACCACGTCACCTGCCTCGGCGCGCACGCACCTGCCTGATCTGCTCCAACGCCTCCGCGCGTACGTCCCCGCCAGCAAGCTCCGCCGGGCTGCTCTTGGCCCCCTCAAGCGCCGGCACCCGCGCGGGTACCCGCGCGGTGGCGGGGGGCTCGGCAGACGGCCTGGCGGCCCGCCCGAGGCCTGGGCGCCAGGCCCCGGGCAGCTGGGCCAACACGTAGCCCAGCCCGATGCAGATTGGCACGGCGATCCACCCGTCCGAATAGTTGTGCCCGCAGTGTACCGTCGGGCACGCAGGACTGGTGACCCCACAGCTGCAAGCAGGGCAGGCGAATATGCACGGCGCGCAGCTCTGGCCAGCCGAACGGATTGCAGCGCCTATGCCCACCCCACGGATGATCTCAACGAAACCGTGTTCGAGGAAATTCATGGACAAGCGTGGGCCTACGCTTGAGCCGAACGTACTGGTTCGGCGTCCATCCCCTTCTCTTCTTGCTCATACATTGAAATGCGGGGCGTCCATATAATATATTCTATATTAGTATATATATCTGTGTGTGTACTCTTATTATATAATATATCTATATATATCTATGTTATAATCATATATATATATATATATATATATATATGGTCAAGCCGCCCCTGGTCATCATCCTTGCGACGTCTGCTCTGTGTCTTCCTCCTCCTCCCTCCTCCTCCTCCATCCTCCTCCTCCTCCTCCTCCTCTTCCTTCTCCTTCTCCTCCTCCCTCCTCCCCTCCTCCTCTGCTGCATTCGCACGGGTATTCGACCTGGAAAAAACCTCATTAAAAAGATCCGTTGACAGATCACAAAGGGATATGCTAGAAAGTCTCAAAAGAAGAATTCTTGTTCGAAAGTAAAAAAAAAAAAAGAAAAGAGAAAAAAAAAAAAATGAAAAGTACACAAAAAAAACTAAAAAAAAAAAAAAAAAAGCAAAAAAAAAATACACAAAAAAAAAAAAAAAAAAAAAAAAAAAAAAGATAAAAAAAAATACAAAAAATAAAAAAAAAAACAAAAGAGCAGCCACAAAGGAATTCGAACGGAAAGCCTCACAAAAGGAATCCATTGGAAAACACCACACAGGGATTCTAGTGGAAAG